GTTAAACTAGACATACCCAATTCCAGCAACTGTTCCTTATATGTTTTAGCCTCCAGTCCCCTAATCATCTTTGTTGCTCTTCCCTGTACTCTTTCTAGAGTCTCAACATCTTTTTTACATCGTGGTGACCAAAACTGGATGCAGTATTCCAAGTGTGGCCTTACCAAGGCATTGTAAAGTGGTATTAATACTTCACGTGATCTTGATTCTATCCCTCTGTTTATCTATGGTTTGATATATTGAAACAGAGAATAAGCACAAGACAGGGGCACAATGAGTCAGTGGCAGCAAACTGCTGCCATTAACCCTAACTGAATTTGCTGCCCTGGACTAGTGTTGAATTCAGAAAATATTATTGTCCTGTATTTGTGAAAGCACCACTGTGTTCCTCCATCACATACATACAATCTTGGACCAGCCTTTAATATCTCTGAAATAATCTATTTATTTTATAAGGGGCTCTCCAGAGAGTTTCTCCATTTATTTACAAAAGGCACCAGCAATGTATATGTAGATGGTTTGCCAGTATAGGCAGGAACATATAAACTGCCCTGATGATTTTGGGGACCCAAAGTTCTGATATTGGTATGTTTGCCATTGAATATGTATCTCCCAGTCTCATGTGAGGAGTAAGAAGGGTACTGACATCTACCACACACTCTCTCTAAGGCAGTTGTGCCACATACGGTAAGGTAAAAATACTATAGAGTCAAGTTCCATATCCTTATAACTTCATATTTGTGTCAGTTTTGTGACATGGGTAGTTATATAAATTTGATAAATAAATAATTGGCAACAGAATGAACTAAATGGAAATTACAACAATTGGAATGATCATATCCAGTGAGAGCATTTTTCTAGGAAAAAGAAAAAGAAACAAGACAAAAGTAAGAAATGGAACAAAGAGTAGAGGAACATGGCAACTAGCTAAGGGTGAGAGATAATGTATGGAATAGGGATGACATTTACTCTGTACTCATATTTCTTTTCATAGCCAGATCTCTTCACTTACTTATCTACAAATAGGATGGATGGATCAATGAATACTATAGTATCTGTTTTTGCCCTCTAACATCCAAATCCTCCCTACATACACATACACACATGGCATGTTATGCTTTGTTCCCCATATCATATAATTAACCTTTGCTATGGAAGTTTTGCACAGCAATGTTAGAGGTAACATGGACTGATGGCTCCCTCCTCCACGGAGTCTGTCTACTAAATTCTTTTTTAAACCATGTGGGACATTGCATGTTGTGCTTTCTCTGTCTGAACTAACTAACTAAATGAGAAGAAAGCCTCACATACTGCAACGTTCATTCCATGTCAGTGAACCAATTAACTTCCTGGCCTTTGGTTCAATGACCAATGTGATTGCATTGAGGAAATTAACTTGTCTTCCCTTCATTCCCTGCACAAAAGTCTAACACATATAAAGGACAACCTTATTTGATTTTATCTTTGTGACAATGTTTTGAATTAAGTCAAGTGAGACAGTGAGACTAAATGGCAAAAGATGACCAAATGAGCTTCAAGCACTGTAGAGGCAAGAATCTTACTCTCTATTAACTAGTTGAATTTTGGCACCTTCACCAACCAATTAGTATATTGATTCTTTTCTTTTTCTTCTATTTTAAAAATACCCAAGCATGCTGTTTTGAACACCCCATCTCCTTAACTTCAGCACATTTTGAGCTTTTTTTCTTGATGCCATTACTACAGCTATAAGGTACCTTCAGAACCATACTTTAGAATTTCCTTAATGATCTGAAAATGTACAAAATATTTATTTGTAAAATATTATATAAGTTAGTAGTTGTGTGAAAATACAATTCTCAATAACTCTTATATCTACCTTGCTGTTATGCCAATGTTGGTATCCCGATGTTGCAAAATAAGAGAGTAGAATTAAGGAACAAAAACAGTGGTGACCTTTAAGCCCCCTATTAAATTTGTCACTAGTGATTCTTTGGAACAAAGTCTTCCTAGCTCATAATACTTGTTCCTCTGCATTTCTAGAGTGCACTAAAAGAGAATCAATTTGTTTGCTGCTGTAGCTAGAAAGTGTGTGAGAGAAGAAGACAAGAAAAGGCAAAGTTAAGAAAAATAAGAAAAATAAAGACAAATATAAAAGAAAAGAAAGAAATAATAGCTGGCAAGATGAAAAAAGGAATGAAAATGACAATTAAAAATGGCAAGCTAAAAATAGAAAGTCATGGATGGCAAGGTGCAGAATCTCCTATTTTTCTTTTCTGTAATGATTCTGTGTTGGGGTTACTATGGCTTAATATCTGGTTTACTTGTATGGTACTGAAACATGGTACTATTATGTTTATTTAGTCCTGGTAAAATAGTAAGTAACTGCATCAACTTTGGGGAGGATTACATGGGGAAACTAGCATTATCCCATTTTTTTCCAATAGATAATATTATTGATAATGTTCTTAATATGTATGTATTTTCCCAGCAACTATATCAGGCAAGATGTTTGCTTGAAGAAGGAGATGTCAATGCTGCTAACATCGGATGTTCTTGCTTTGACAACAGATGGAAATGCAGCCATTTTTCTCTATTGCTTTTAGAATTAGTTGATGCTGGGAGGGGGAATGTGGATGAGAGTCCAGCTAGTCATAACAATAATAATTCAGCCACGGGAACCCAAGGTCATTGGGCCCAGAGTTGATAGAGTTTTGGCGGGCTGGAGAGCTGGGGAGAAAGCCCACGCTTCAAACTAATTGTGGAATGTGATTTATGACTGTTTATTGGAGGAGGGAATTGTGCTTTGTTACTTTGTATCTAGGGGAGGGGAATTTAGTTTTTGGTTTCGACTATGTAGTGCCGATACTTTGTTTCTCGAATAAAAGATTCTTTAAGGTAAACAATGCCTTGAAGTTCTTGTGAAGAGTTTCATCTGTCAGAACTATGACAGAAGATCAAAGAGTTAGTTCCTTGACATTAACAGTTAGCATCTTAACAAAGTCCAACTGTTAAAAATCTGAGATTTACATTATATTGAGATTTAATTATCAAGGAATTTATAGGAATTACTTCCAAATTCATCTCCTTCTACAGTATATTAATTATCACATGTAATTTCTATAGAAATCTATTTAAATGCTGTTTTGGTGATGTTCCTACACAATAGGTAGACAATTTCCTATGCTATGTCAATGATGTTCCTACACAATAGGTAGACAATTTCTAGTGCTATGTCAATGCTGCAAGCATTGACATGCTATCTTATATGTATTTAATAGAATATACAATACATTCCACTGTCCTCTGTAGGACTTAAGGCTAACTAGGCATAAGATTCTAATTTACCATAACTTTAAATGACCGTGTTATTTTCTGATTAAATTATATATATATTTATTACATATAGGGATTTTCAGTAAAATTTGGTTGTTAATTGCTTACTATATTTCCCATTTTACTTCCTTTTGGCTCTGTTTCCCACAACCCATGCCTGCAGTCTCCACCCACAATGAGAGAGAAATTGAAACAGATCAGCAGCTGGATAACTTGTACCTGAAAGCTTTAGAGGGCTTTATCACTGTCATCACACAGGATGGAGACATGATCTTTTTGTCTGAAAATATCAGCAAATATATGGGTTTGACACAGGTAAGAGTATTGTCTATTCACTTCTGATAGCAAGCTGGATATGATTCTCTGCTCCTTCTCACATTCTGTTCATGGTAAAGAATTTTTTTTAAAAAATAAGATTGAACAAGATATTTTCTATATATCTCAGAAAGATACTGATTCTGGTGTCCCTGCAGTATTGCACCATGAAGAGACCAATGCATTTGCTGTAGGATTAGAGACATAGGGAGATGTTCTGAAGCCATAAAAGTTCTATGTATACAACTGTGTAGTGGGGAAGAATAGGGATACGTATGCATATATCTGTCCAATAAATCGTACCATCAGTTTGGACAAAGGGTGTGAGATATTTTGTGCAGGTGGGATTCAGCCATGCATCCTCCTTCTGGCTTGTATCTTTTTATTTCACATTGATGATTTATTTTGATTTCCATTATTGTCTACAGTTCAACTAAAGACTTGGGTGAGTTTGAAACTATAATTAAAGACAGGTCTGTACAACACAGTTCACAGGATGATCAACCCTGGTCTACAGATGGTGCTGTTAAAAGCCAGGCTGGTGGTAGCAATGCTCCTCATTCATGACATTATCATGGGTGAAGCAGTCAGTGCGGCATATGTAACTGACACAAGGGGGGCTTGAAGAGAAGTGTCTTTTTCTCTGAGGTATGCCAAGTGGGTTTCAAGTTTAGAACTAGCTGTGATCCATGAGTAGAGAGGATGGTGTGGCAGTTGTCATTCAGGAAGCCCTAGTGGTTTTCAGAGGCTTTGCACTGCAGATAACTGGATATTAATCCCCATCATAGAAGTTGAGATCTAGGGAACAGTTGGATCTGTTGCTCCTTTCTGGATTTCCTGGTATGCAACAGCTTCATTGTTTGAGGTGCTCAACTCTGATGTTGAGATGTCCATGGAGTCTTCAAGTTTGATAATTTGATAAATTTCCTTAATGTGGCATTAACAGAGGAATTCACATAATTACTATGACTACCATAGACTGACCCAAGTTACTGAAAGCCCAATGCACAGAGGTAATAATGTGCTAGATCTGCTTTTTATATCAGGACAGTTACAACATAATTTGAAGGTGGAGAACATTAGCATCAGTCCTTTGTCAGAATCAGATGACCCTCTGGTTGTTTGTTAGCTAACTGGGGCTGTCCCTTCCTCTAGCAGGAAGGAAGGCACTATTTGATCAGACTGTCCCAGGTAACTAATGGACCAGATTCATGTTTTTCTTGGAGTTCAGTTGAGGTGTTGATCTCCATATGGAATGGGAGTACCATGGAAGTTAGGACCAAATTGCTTCTATGTGGGCTTTCCCGGTTTTGCGATCTTATAGAGCTCCTTGATTTTCTAAGGAGTTTTGAAAGAGCATCATTAAAGAAAGATGATGAGTAGACAAGTTCCCAATGAGAACCTTGCTGCTGACGGTTGCTGTTAAATAGCACAGTGGTGATATAATTCAGTTATGGATACTTGTGCCTTTGCTTCTAGAAGAAACCCTATGCTCAATGCTCCAAAGCTTCTAATGCATCCTCAAACTTTAAAATTCTGCCAGGATTTGGTCCCATATCATCTGTTTCCTCTCACATCTGCTCTTGCTGAATCAGCCTCAAGTGGTTGATTATTTAACTTGCTGGATCAGAATTCTCAGCACTGATTTCTTCAAGTTAGAGGAAACAGTAACAGTTACCTGGGCAATTTTTGACTGCCTTCAAGAAAATTTCTAAGGAAATTGATACGATCCTCATAACTGTTAGTCTGTTTACCTGGTTGATTAAGGCCTGCCGAGAAACGATATGAAGTTGGACCATGCAGTGGTGCATGTTTCCTGTCCTAGGAATCCCTTCTCATGGTCATCTATACTTTTTTCATTGCACATGTGGATCACTGCAATGTGTTCTACATGGGGCTGTTCATCTTTATCATATGGCTTTTATGACATTCTCTTATGTGGTTTTCATGTGTGTGTTTGAGAATAGATGAAATTTTCGTACAGTATGTCTGCCTGTCTGCCTGTCTATCTATTTCACGCATTGCACAGGTAAATTCATTTTGTAATTTTTTATTTCTTCACTTTTTCTCAGTTGATTTTATTCTATCTTTTCTGCCAACAAGATGGAAATACCATTTTTGGTTTTCCCCCCCATTTTTCTAGGTGGAATTGACTGGCCACAGCATTTTTGATTTCACTCACCCTTGTGATCATGAAGAAATTCGGGAAAATCTAAGTTTGAAAAACGGTAAATAATTTTTAAAACTGTACTTGGAGGATTTATTATAACCTGAAGTTTGAGTTTTCAGAGTTGCATTACATGTACACATCATTTATGAGCAAATAATCCCTGGACCAAGGTTGGTGGTGCAGTCAGGGACTTCTATTTTTTACTTTGTGTTAGTGTGGGCATATCCTCATCCTTTTATTCCTCTAGTTCTTTCTTCTAGGTCAATACAGGATTTTAAGGAGAATCCAGCCTTTTTAAACTGGGATGTCTCCCCTGTACCTACCAGGTTTCTGGGCTGATCTCTGGCATGGGGACCTGGCTTGGAAAGATGGACCAACTCAAATAGTAGGCGACTGTATTCAGAAGAATCCTGAATTATGGCAGCCAAATTGTGTAGAGATGTATCTGTGCCATGAAGCATCTTGGTGATGGTATACCAGCCCCATTACCAGTCAGCTATTATTCAGGATTCTTCTGTTTTCCTTGTTACCTTCTGGGAGGAGGTTTCGTGGTATCCATAGCAGAACATCCAGATTCAGCCATAGTTTCATTCCATACAGCATTAACCTTGTGAACTCTCAAGCTTCCGCCTTCCATTATATATTCAAGATGGACAGTATTTAATATTTATTTGCTACGTATATGTAGGGGTGTGGGTCTATACATATGTTGTTCATAGTATGTTTAGGTGTGTGTCATGTATGTGTTTCACTTGAGAGCGGGCAACTAAATTTCATTTTTGATGTGTGCCGTTGTGCCCACAGTAAAAAAATGACAATAAAGGTTATCTTATCTTATCTTCTGAACCTGAGCTTAGCATTTTGAAGGCCATGTGTTTAGTGCTCCTCCTATATTGAATAGGATATCCAGTAACAGTTGTACTGAAAAGGAGCTAAAATAATTATTTTTCTTTTTCTTAGGTCCAGGTTGTGGGAAAAAAAATAAAGAGATGTCCCTGGAACGTGACTTCTTCATGAGAATGAAATGCACTGTTACCAACAGGGGCAGAACTGTAAATCTCAAATCTGCCACATGGAAGGTAACTTTAGTGACAATGGTTGAAAAATTCAGTCCTATTTTCCCCCCTCCACTGTTCTATGTTATAATAATATAATTATACAAACAATTTTTACATTTCAGGTTTTGCACTGCACAGGACAAATTAAGGTCTATAATACCTGTCCTCCTCATGCTCTGTGTGGTTTTAAGGAGCCACTCTTATCCTGCCTTATACTGATGTGTGAGCCCATTCAGCATCCTTCCAATACTGATATTCCATTGGACAGCAAGACTTTCCTGAGCCGTCATAGCATGGACATGAAATTTACTTACTGTGATGACAGGTGAAATGATAATCTCTTTTTTGTTGGGAAACATAAGCAGCCTAGTCTATTTCTAATACGACTGATTCATTTTTAAAATCCTTAAAATAGGCATAGACACAGCGCAAAGAGAAGAGAACATGGGGGCAAAATTCTAGTATATTACACTGGATCATCCACATCCTTTTGGTGGGAGAATTATATTCTCGCAAATTGAGAATAGTACTGGGGAGGTTGATCTGTACTAAAACTTTTCTTCTGTCATATTATTATTTTTTAGTCTGAATATATCCAAAGGGAAAACATTCAAAATTGTTATCTCCCTCCTGTAGTCTGAACTGGTATAGTCAAGTCTATATTTTCATTCTGTTTCTGGAGGCCTGAAGTTTGATCTATTCATATAGGAGGAATGGATCATACCTCTTCATTTTACAGAGAAGGATGTTGTTCAAAATGCTAAAATCAAAAACAAAAACTTGTTTTCTAATAAAGAAGATTGTTTTTTAATGGAAAGACCTCATCAACAGTATATTTTCATATAGAATCTTAAATAGAAAAATGCATTTTATTATACCTCATTTGGACTAATATGCAGATTAGGACCATATAGATTTGTTTGTTTGTTTATAAAATTTGACACCGATCTCATGACCACTTGTCATCCAACGAGATATAGGAGTTGTATCCCATCAGTGTTTTGACTGTCTCAGAACATCAGCTGCAGGCTGGCTGTCCTCAGCTACTTTTACTCAAAAATTTGAGCAATTGCTTTATGATGATTCTTCAAGTAATTATAGTTTCCACATAAAGCATAGTGCCAAATGTCACAAAACCTTAGTACAAAATTTTGCAGAGTCTCCTTTTGCAGTGTGGATTATTTTGGAGAATGTAAACACTACTGATATATCCAGGTAAAATTAAGCCAGAGAGTTTTATAAGCATCAAGGAACTGATGCCTGCTTATGATATCCATTTGTAAAGTATATTGGTGAGGGGGAAGCTTGCCAAGGAAAAGAAGAGAAAGTGGGATGTCCACTTTCTCTAAGAGATTGTGGTCAGGAAATGATTGATTACCTTTGATCAAATGCAAAGTCACAAACGAACAAGAAAAATGAACCAAACTTATACACATTGAAAGCCAGATAGCTGGATTAACCCTCATTGCACCCAAAATATAGTGGAAGCCTCTAGGTTCTGTACCTGTGGCAATTATTAATTGCCAAAACCTGATGTCCTTTAGTTATCTAGTGCCTTTCTGTTATAAGGGGTGTTTTATATTCCTATTGAACAGAAACTGTATTTTGTAAACAACTACTCATGTATGTCCCAGCTTTTTTAGTATTAGAGGGCATTTGACGATAGCTGTATATTTTCTGTTTTCAAAACATTACATATTGTTCTTTTTATACCATCAACACCTTGTCCCCATAGACAATTCTCACATATAGGCTACATAAGAAATTGAAGGGCATGACAAAGGAAGTGAACTGCTCCGAAAAGAAAAACATTTACCACCAAAACTGGAGAAAGAATAACCTTGATAACTGAAGCTGTTAAGAAAATGGTGATGATATATAAGAAGTTAAATATATCCTGTGTATAAAATGATGATAGTTCTAAGTATAGTAAATTGGCTGTTGGGAATTAGACATACTTTCCCAGCCATGGATTCTACAGCCCAAATATGGTACCATTTTCCATCTTTGAGATTTCAATCTTTCTACATAGAGCACATTTAGGACATTTCAGGCTGGTTGATATTCATTCATTCATTCATTCTGTGCCTTTTTTATTCTTACAAATAAGACAGTGAACATATCCTCCTCCTATTTCCCTACAACAACAAACTTGTGGGGAGGAGTTGGGCTGAGAGAGGGTGACTGGCCCAAGGTCACCCAGTTGGCTTTCATGGCTAAGGCATTTTCAAGAGTTTGCCTTTCCTTTGTTAAGGAGTTTTCATATTTTTTTTTTAAAAAAAAGATGGACTGATCTTCAAACAGAAGTTACTGTGAAGTAAAAGGCTATTTTCTGATTTTCCTTCAAGTAGAGAAATATCTTGTGACATAAATTTCCATGAACTTGCCCTTAAAATGTATCATATCCTGTGGTTTTGCTGCATGCCTAAGACTATGCAGATACAATCCACATTTTATAGATATTACCTAAATCTGGGGTTGGCATAAAATTAATCTGGATCTAAGTTAAATCTGTATATAATTTGTATAGACAGCAGGGTTTTGTTTGTTTTTCTTATCAATGTTTGCAGTTATAAAATGGATTTTGTACTCACCTATCCTTAATTATATAGCTAAAATGGTTGAAGTCAACAAAAACAGAAGGACTGTGAGTTCAGTTTTATTCTGATATCAACCAAATTTCTAGACTTTATAACTCTAAGCAAATGCTGTTTACCATGGATTTCAGTTGACAGTTTGGGGAGTCAAGGGGGGGAAAAGCAGGCCTTCAAGCCTGAAGTTTGAAAACAAAAAAATAATTCTTGAGTAATGTTTCTCCTTGGATTTTATTTTGTTTTATATCATTTAGCATTCCAGTATGAGAATAAGCTTTTCTGTTCTTTCTGTGATGTTGTTTACTTATTTTATATTAGTTTGCAATAGCTGATAGTAAGATAACAATGCTCCCTGTTGCTCAGGACTGTTTGTGAGATCAAGATTGAGAAATCTTGCAATCAGGGCTTATGAAAAGCTTTCTAACCTCTTGAAGCTAGTAGTCACACTAAGCATCTTCATTTTCTTAAGGGTAATAAAGAAATAAGTGTGTTTTCTTGTGTTCTCTTGATATATATTTTCTGTGTGCCTGTCTGCAATGGGAAGCACAGGAGAGGTTACCTATGCTAAGGGTGCCATCACCTCTCTAACTCATTTACTCTGCCACCAGCTCTACTAAATCTGTATTGGTTGCAACCAGCAAGAATTAAATAACAGCAAACGTACAAAAAAGAAGACGGTGATCTAAAACTATTTTTTACTATACAGTGTCAACAAGATTTGCCAGTCTAGGGCTTCAGACAGGACTTTCTCAGTCCTAATGCTTTTTACCACCCAGTCACTTGGGGTCAGATAGCATATAAATTTAAATTTTAATATATTATTATTATGGTTGGTTGCATAGTCAGCCAGATGTTTAAACTGGATTGGGTTTTTTTGTCCACTTAATGAGTCCTTCCCAAGGACCTGGGATAAGCAGATACTGATTTTTAATAATATATCTGGCTGCTTCCATGCTTCTGTTCCTTCTTCCTATTGATTCTCTCTTATTAAGAATCCCAGGTCTTGTTTGCCACAATGAAAGGAAAATGGCTTAGAACAGTGGTGGCGAACCTATGGCACGGGTGCCAGAGGCGGCACTCAGAGCCCTCTCTGTGGGCACATGCACTGTCGCCCCAGTCTTAGGCATTCAGCTGGATTTTATAAAACCTTTTCGCTTTAGGCCTCCACCACCGTGTGCAAAAAAAAAAAAAGGTTCAATCAGTCAATTTCAACTTTTCGCGGGAAAAAAAGATCTTGCAAAGTTGGAATTGATTGATTGAACTTTTTAGTCCCACCCAGTCTGCCATTACCATCCAATGGGCCATACCCACCCAATGGGCCACACCCACCCAATGGGCCACACCCACCCGGCACTCGACGATGCATAAGTGGGTTTTGGGTTGCAGTTTGGGCACTCGGTCTCTAAAAGGTTCGCCATCACTGGCTTAGAAGAAGGGAATTTCAGCAGAACCCTTGGTTTTTAGTTACTGACTTTAACAACATAGCTTGTCCTCCGTGGGCTAGAATCCTTCTATAGCAGTCTTTCTCAACCTCAGCAACATTCATGCTGACTGGGAAATTCTGGGAATTGAAGTCCACACATCTTAAAAAGTCTGAGCAAATCAGATGCCCTCCTATTGATCTGTATTTTGTGGGTAGTTTGAGCCTTTCCATTTTTGAACATGTAATAGTCTGGCTGCAGTTATCATACATGAAAACAAAGTTCCATGATTTTTTTCTATTGTCTGTCCATTAGTTCCCCCCACCCCCCAAAAAAAAGTTTTTGATTTTAATTGTACTTTAATTTGGGGGACTATTTGTAAATACTTTTATTCAGCAACATCATCACTTTGAACAAGTTATCGTTAAGTACCCAGTGCCTTGCCATTTTTTATAGTTTCTGCTAGTGGTCTAGTTAAACTCTGACAACTGCTTGCCCATTACCATAAAATGCAAGGATAAAGCCTTCCATATAAACCAAAGCCAGAATAAATACAAAGTAGGGGTTTCATTTCTTTTTATTAATCAGGCCTGTTACAGAAAGCAACAACTCTTTGCAGCA